GATATGAAAGGAAAAGTAATAAGAACAAGAACTATTAAGATAAAATCAAAGAAAACTCAGATGATACACAAATAACCCGCACATAAAGAGAGAAGCTTACGACGACGTTTCGGTCCGACTTGGACCATTGACAAAGTCATAGTGTGACTTTGTCAATGGTCCAAGTCGGACAGAAACGTCGTCGTAAGCTTCTCTCTTTTATGTGCGGGTTATTTGTGTATCGTTCCAGTCACGGTATTGTGCCTTTTTTTGTTATTTGTTAAAACTCAGATGAGTATGTATAAATAAACGTGTACATGTATGTGTATTGTGACCTAAGTGTAAGTAGAAGTAGCAAGACGTACCTGTAATCTTGCATATTTATGAGACGGACAAAAGACACCAGCAATCCTACCATCATGTAAAACAATTACAGGTTTCGTTTTGCACTCACTTGGCAGGACAGTAGTACCTCCCTGGGTGGTTGTTGTCTACCAGCCTACTCACCCATTTTTAAAACTACACATCGTAGTTTCTATATCGGTACTCGGGAGTTTGTTCCAATCATCCGCAACTCTATTACCAAACCAGTGCTTTCCTGTATCCTTCCTGAATCTGATTTTTTCCAGCTTAAAACCATTGCTGCAAGTCCTGTCTAGGCTAGATATTTTTAGCACGCTATATTTTTTTTTTTTTTTTCAACAAGTTGGCCGTCTCCCACCGAGGCAGGGTGACCCAAAATAAAGAAAGAAAATCCCCAAAAAGAAAATACTTTCATCATCATTCAACACTTTCACCACACTTGCACATTATCACTGTTTTTGCAGAGGTGCTCAGAATACAACAGTTTAGAAGCATACACATATAAAGATACACAACATATCCCTCCAAACTGCCAATATCCCAAACCCCTCCTTTAAAGTGCAGGCATTGTACTTCCCATTTCCAGGACTCAAGTCCGACTATATACATCCACTTTATTCATTCCTGTTTTCCATTTATACATCTCATTTGAACACCATTCTTGTACATAATGACCTCTTCAAGGGGGGCTCCTTGACACGGCAAAGATGTTCTTTGTCTAAGGAATTAAACCCTTTGGTCTCCTTCCTCAGACCGAATCCAAGTACCCCCCAATCCTCCCCATCCCCTCCCCCCTCCCAACCCTCCCCTTTCCCCATCCCGTTTGTAGTCTCTGGGGTCCTCCTCTTTGGCATTACGGTTTCTAGGTAGGGGGAATTGTGCTGGGGTTCATCCCACTCTGTGGAATTCCTTGGGGGTGGTGTAGTTTGCCATGGAATCTTGAATTGTCTGAAGGTGCCTTGCTCTCTTCCTGGATTTCTGAGAAGTGGGCGGGGTGTCCTGCAGACGATGGGTGTATCTCCAGAGGCTGACTGTCAGTTCTGGGACGTGACAGCCAAAGGAGGTATGCTTTGTGGTGGGTTTCCGACCGCCCTTTTTTTTGTCGGCCAAGGTGGCTCGGTAGATATGTGGTTGCTATCCCAGAGTGCTGGTTTACTGGCGTGAGGGGTGGGGTATGGCATGGGTTCCACGCTGCATCTGCACTGCTAGTGGGTTCGATGCCCTCTCAGATGAGGGGAAGAACTTACAGCCCTTCCATGCCTTCTAGTGATTATCCTTCTGGTGTCCCTCTTTTTTTTCTTTCCTTCTTTCTTTTTTTTCTTTAAAATAGCAAGAAAGAAGCACCACTATCATGGAGTCTTCGTTCTGTGATAACCCTCCTCCTCCCAGGCCCCTTTCTGTTCCCACATCCTGTTCTGACCCTGCTTCATTATTGGGCCATTCTCTAGACTCTTCTCATACCCCTGTACCCTCTGCTGGTCACACTGTCACCTGCTCCACGTGCTGAGGTGCCACCCGTTTCTGTTAATTCCTCTGCCTCTTGCATGCCTTTAACAATGCGTCCGGCTTTCTCAAATACGATACGATGGTTTATGGATCGCCCACCTCCCTCAGGTCGGACCGCCCGCAGTACTACTCTTAAACGTTCCAGAACACCTACTGATGATGGTTCTCCATTGTCTACCCAAAAACGACCTATGCGGCACCCACTTCCTTTGCACATTGTTTACAAGTACAAAGTGGGCTAAATTTTTTCCCTACAATCGACATCTCCATCTGATTGTCTTTCTGATCATAGTATTGGTAAAAGAACATAAGAAAGAAGGAACACTGCAGCAGGCCTACTGGCCCATGAGGGGCAGGTCCATGTCAACCCCCGGCTTAGACCAATGGCCCACCCAGTCAGGTCACCTCCACTTAAGGAAGGAGCACGGCTTCTGACCCAGTAGCACCAGCTAGTCAAGTCCAACTCACACCCACCCACACCCACTCATGTATTTATCCAACCTAATTTTTAAAACTACACAACGTCTTAGCTTCTATGATGGTACTCAGGAGTTTGTTCCACTCATCCACAACTCTGTTACCAAACCAATGCTTTCCTATATCCTTCCTGAATCTGAATTTTTCCAGCTTAAAACCATTGCTGCAAGTCCTATCTAAGCTAGATATTTTTAGCATGCTATTTACATCCCCTTTATTTATTCCTGTTTTCCATTTATACACCTCAATCATATCCCCTCAATTCTATGCCTTTCTAGAGAGTGCAGATTCAGGGCCCTCAGCCTATCCTCATAGGGAAGATTTCTGATACATAGGATCAACTTTGTCATCCTCCTCTGTACGTTTTTCAGTGCATTTATATCCATTCTGTAATACGGTGACCAGAACTGTGCAGCATAATCTAAATAAGGCCTAACCAAGGATATACATATAGAGTTGAAGAACAACCTGAGGATTTCTATTTTTTATGCTTCTTGATATGAAGCCAAGGATTCTGTTAGCTTCTGTTAGTACAGCCTCTCCTCACTTAGCGACATGCTCGTTTACCGATGCCTCAGACTTACGACGGGCTGTCTGACCAGTATTCATACCTAAATAATGTATATTAGAGCTGATTTCCTATATTCTGTTTATTTCAGTATACAGTACACTACTGTATAAACATTTAAAAATATACCAGAAATGTTATAAATGGTGCAAAGGTGACATTAAAACAATATCAAAGATGGCCGACACAAACTCGCTACCATTATAGTATGCTCCTCACTTAACGACGAATTCGTTTAACGACGTGATCTTAAGAACAGAACTCCATCATTAAGCGAGGAGAGGTTGTATTTCATGGCCTAAACCCTGTGTGTTGTTTAATTTTTTGTATTAATGTCAAAATTTACACTATATGAATAATATAAATGTGGCTGCCTCAACCCTCAGTTCTTATCAGTTGTTTCGAATTCGAAAAACAAACCTTTTTTTTTTTTATGCAATAGCCATTTTCCAAGGTAACAAAAATATACTGTATGAGCTTACCAGGCCCACAACACCTTGCTTAACAAAATCCCAAAAGAAAACAAAATTTCTTGTAGATTGCAGCTGCACCTTAAACACTGGTAAATACTGTATTGGTAGGTGTCTGCCTGAAGGGTGTTCTGAGGTGCAATACTCACCATGGCCTGGTCTATAACCAGGCCTCCTGGTGGATCAGGTCTGATCTACCAGGCTGTTACTGCTTACTAAGATTTGATGGTGTACAGTACCAAGGCCTGTTAACCCCTTGACTGTCGCAACCCCCAATCCTGAGGTGTCTCCTGGTGTCGCAAAATTAAAAAAAAAAAAATTATTTTTTCTTATGAAATGTTAGAGAATCTTTTCCCGATTGTAATGACACCAAAAAAAAAAAAACGAAATTTGATGGAAAACTGACGGAATTACGCTCTCGCAAAGTTAGCGACCTTGGCGATATTTACAAATCGGCGATTTTGCCCACTTTGAGCCCTATTTTCGGCTAATTCCTTTGTTTCAGTCGACCAAACTCATAGCTACTTTTTTAGAACTCCATTTTTTCTATTGATTGAGTACAAGAAACTGCCCATTTACCAATTTTAACTACTCAATAACGTGGTCAGAAATTTGCAATTTGGCCAATTTCACAAAAATTCAAAAATATGACAATTTCAAAATAAGGTCCAGAATGAACAATGCAGACATTCCTGGCTCTAAAATAACATTTTCTTTGTTCATCAGTCATGTCTCCAGGCCCCTCTGATATTACTCTTGCTTTCTATTTTGAATTTTTATTCAAACAAAAAATAGAAAATTTACTATTATGCAGATTACTCCAATACTGTAATAATTGTATAAATAACATCAACCCATTAATGACTGCATATTAGAATGGCTAGTTGGACATTTATTGGGTAATGATGTCATTAGTTTACTTTTGAACATCGGCAAAAATCAAACATTTCCCCTACTTTGAGCTCCATTTCCAGGTTTTTTTTATAGTAAAATCAATCAAAATCATCTCTTTTTCTATAATATGTTTTCGATTCTATCAAATGAGACCAAGAAAACGAGAATACAACCATAAATACTATACGAAAATAGACCACAAAGTCGGCATTTTAATTTAAAAAAAAAACGGTCGGAGTTTTTTTTTCTCATTATGCACTGCATGCTCCAGGATTTTTTTTATGTGGTGCACACTGACCACACAGACCCATTCTCTCACATGTGGGCCTACCAGCTTTCTCCTTCTTGATTTGAAGCCGCTAGAATTTATGAGTATATATACGTCAAACACGGTACCTCGTAAGACGTATATATATGGCCGCGACAGTCAAAGGGTTAAAGAATGTGTGTTTTTAAAATATTTAAGTAAAATTTATAACTAGTGAATTATTGTATTGTATCTACTAGGCTCTTGTTTTTAATGTACTCAAATGCAGATAACAAGCATTACCAAAATTATGCATTGAAAGTGTTGAGTTTTTCATACAAATTGTTGATTTCCTTGTTTGAAGCAAGGGGGTTCATGTTTCATCTTTGTAACTGGTTGTTATTGCATTAGCCCATTTCAAAGTAAAAGAAATTCAGGTGCTGTATATATTTTATGGTTGAGGAAAACAATTGCTTCATTCATTTGCAACTTGCAGATCCTGCAGAAAGCACACCAACTCAGGCAGTTGCAACATTCAAATTAGAGTTTGCCACATTATACAAGACATTATATATGCATCTTCACGACGACCAGACAACGCTGCTCCTTTACCTCCTCCTCCACAAAAATGAGGATTTCCGCACCTACGTCCTAGCCCGAACAGACATGGAAAGTTTAATTCTACCAATCCTCCATACACTTTACCATGCACCAGACAGCACCTCCCATCATATTTATATGTCACTTATCATATTACTCATTCTCTCTGAAGATGATTCATTCAACAAAACAATTCATGATATAGTAAGTAATGCATTTATAAACTAATTTATATTTAAAAATGATAAATTGTGCACTTAAATAGTGCGAGAATTTACTATGATGTTATAGCTTAGTATTATTCAGTAATAAGTATTGAGCAGCACCTAGGGTAAAATGGGATTATTAAGAGGAAATGAATGGCTATCACTTTAATGCTAGAATACTTAATCTGTGAAATTATTGAAACATTGTTGTGGATGTTTTGATATACAATGAGTCTGTTTCTTGAAGTGCACTGTGGTGCCTGTTGTATAAAGTGTTAGTTTCTTGAAATGCTGCTTTCCATAGAAAGCTATGGCACTCGAAAGTAACAGATTATTTATTACTATTATTGTTATTATTATTTTATTATTGTTATTGCAAACATTCATTATAGACAGTAACATAATTATCTACTTGATGTAAATTTCTTCTCCACATGTTTTATGTTTCAAATCAATAATTTTCGTTTAAAAGTGGATAAATTAGTTTATATTGTGTAAACAAAGTTTATCATTAGACTACGTATCTCGTCTTCACAGCCTTTGAAGAACATCACGTGGTACACAGAGCGTCTGATCAGTGATATCTCTCTCGGTGGTCTCCTCATCCTCGTTGTCATTAGAACTATAACTTACAACATGACTAAAATGAGGGTGAGTTGTGGAATGTTAAAGTGAAAAAAGGTGTAAGTACCCTTTGCAGTGCAGTATATAATAAATGATTACACTGAATAACAAAAAAAGGCACAATACCGTTACTGAAACGATACACAAATAACCCACACATAGAAGAGAGGAGCTTACGACGACGTTTCGGTCTGACTCGGACCATTTACGAAGTCACACGTCGGACCGAAACGTCACTGTAAGCTCCTCTCTTCTATGTGCGGGTTATTTGATTACAGTGAAACTTCCATGATCACTTGAGCTCACATTTTATTGTACTGTACGTAGTTCATAATCTTATGGGGTGCTTTGTAGGATATTTCCTGTCTTAACCTGTTTAATTGAACTGCAGCACAATTACCATGCATCTGCTTCTCATTAACTTCATCTGTATCTCTCTAACTTCCAAAACCCTCAGCAGTGTAGCTTCAAACATCCAAAAACAGTGCCTCCTATTTTGATGATGGTAGTGAAATTCATACAGAAGATTTTGTAGTAAAGAAAATTTTTACTTTTTTTTTTTTAAAATGAATGCAAAAGAATCAAGAGTATTAATAATTGTATATTTCTGCAGTGGTAGTTACAGATATTTTTTTTTTCATTTCAAATGTTCACCATTGGTGAGTTTTAATAAATAAAAGCTTGGCATTCACTTTGAGCTGTGTAAATTTCAATTTGCTGATTTGATTAAATAAATTATTTTCCATATAATAACTAGAAAATGCCTCTTCTGATTGACTTCAAACCCATAATATAGCTGTATCTTATTTGGTGCCAAGGAATTGGTTCAGTCCTCCTCTTCCTTAGATGTATCCTGATTGTCCTAATCCCCAGGCTATGTAATACCCCCTATGAGTTTATATTAATAGTTGCCCTCCAAACAGGACAAATATCTGCATACCAACTGTTTAGCTGCCTTGGCCAACATGTCGAGCAAGTTCCGGTCCCTCCACCCATACGTATGCCAGCGCCTTGTTAGTCTGTTTGAAACCCTAAGTAAGAGACATGCCCGTCTGTGTGAGTCGATCAAAATGGCTGAAGATCTTCTTGAAGAATCTGAAAATGATATGCCAGATGCTGTAAGTTTTCTTGCATGAATTTATTAATACAAGACCTCAGAAGGAAGCTAGTGACAGCAGAGATGTCAGATTTGAAGGCAGTGTGTGTTGTAAACATTGTGCAGAGAACTTGGAGCCTAGAAATTAGAAGACAATATGGAGTTACCAAAGGTATAAATTCAGAGGGCTGAAGAGGGGTTGTTGCAGTGATTTGGGCATTTGAGGAGAATGCAGTAGAATAGGATGATCAAGAGGGTGTATAAACTGGGGATGGAAGGAATGAAGGGTTGGGGTCACCTTAACCCTTTGACTGTTGCAAGCCCATTTCTGAAACTGTCATTCTATGTCGCAAAATTTTTGGAAAAAAAAAAAAATTCTTATGAAATGATAGAGAATCTTTTCCTGATGGTAATGACACCAAAAGTACGAAATTTGATTGAAAACTTACGGAATTACGCTCCCGCGAAGTTAGCGATCTCAGCGATATAGGGCTCAAAGTCGACAATTTTGCCAACTTTGAGCCCTATTTTTGGCCAATTCCATTGTTCCAGTCGACTAAACTCATAGCTATTTCTTTAGAACTCCATTTTTACTATCAACTGAGTACAAGAAACTGCCCATTTACTGATTTCAACTACCCAAGAAAGTGGTCAGAAATTGGCAATTTGGCCAGTTTCACGCATATTAAAAAAGATGCCAGTTTCAAAATAGGGTCCAGAATAAACAATGCAGACATTCTTGGCACTAAGATAACATCCTCTGTTCATTAGTCACATGTCCAGGCCCCTCTTATATTACTCTTGCTTTCTATTTTGATTTTTTATTCACACAAAAAATAGAAAATTTACTGTTATGCAGACTACTGCATTATTGTAAAAATGGTATAAATAATATCAGTGCACTAGTGAAAGAATATTAGACTCCCCAGTTGATGTGTATTGGACGTGTGGTGTGATTTGCTTACTCTTGAACATTGGTAAAAATCGAACATTTCCGCTACTTTGAGCTCAATTTCAAGGTCGTTTTCACCATGAAACTAATCAAAAATCATCTTTATTTCTGTAATATGTTTTCCATTCTATCAAATGAGACCAAGAAAACGAGAATACAACTATAAATACTATATGAAAATACACCTCAAAGTCAGCGTTTTAATCCCAAAACATGGTTGGAGTTTTTTTTTCTCATTATGCACTGCGGGCTGCAGGATTTTTTTTATACAGTGCACACTGACCACACAGATCCATTCTCTCACATGTGGGCCTACCAGCTTTCTCCTACTTGATTTGAAGCCGCTAGAATTATTGAGTATACATATGTCCGAAACACTGGCTCGTAAGACGTATATATATACGGCCGAAACAGTCAAAGGGTTCAATGCTGTGGTGGGGTTCGAGTAGCTTGTACCTAGGGGCAAGGACCTGTTTTCTGGAGGAAAGGGGAGGCACTTCCAAGAGGGTGCTTGCCTGACTAAGAACTCAGCATCTCTTTCAGCAGAGCATAAATTGTAGGGTTATGTCCCTTTTTGTATAAATTTACCGATACTGCTGATGACATGGAGCAAGGATTGTGGAATGTGAGAATTATGCTGGACAGTCTAGATGCGATTATGATTTATGTCATGTGAGATTGAATTAGTCATGATAGTAGTAAGTTGATAATGATAATGCAAATTTGATAATGTTCAGAACATGTTTAAAGCATCTAACTAAATTATTATAGAACTAATTTGTAAATAAAATAAAAAAAGACTTGTCATGCTGACCAGTGGTAGTAATTGCACCTGCCAGGCAGACAAACTCTGGTGAGATTCAAGCACTAGTGGAGGTGGAGGGTAGCATGAACATGCTTCCTAGTCATCATCTTTTGTTTGAAAATGCCAAGCTATTCTTCATGGCTCATACAGATAGTTATTTTGCCCTACTTTAACATTATATTGTATCTAAACCAATAATAGTTCCAAAAGGATATTAAATAATGAAAAAATTGCATTGCTGTGAAGTGTATGATCATTAAACTCAGAAATGTTTGTAACAGCTGACTGATATTGGCAGGAAACCAGCTACTGTTGCCAAAAGCTCTGTTTTTTCTCATTCAGTAGTGCTGAGAGAATGACAGCAATTACTCTGTGTAAAGGGTTCTCAGTGTTTGGATTGGTCACTGAAACCAGTGTGATGTCCATCTAACATTGGTTTCAGTATTCAGGAGGCCAAGAGTTTGGCTGTTTCAAGAAATATGATGAGCATTCACAAATGACAAGGTTAGGTGCAAGCCCAATGTAGGTTGAAAGATTTAAGAGGTGAAACATTTTGATGATTTGAGGCAATTTGAGTGCCTTAATACTAGTGAAGGGATATTAATCCAAGAAACTGGAGTTATCTTCTTGTATCAAACCTGTTTACTTCCCATTCCCAAGGTGTTATATGACCCATACAGGTTTAGCAATTCCTGCATGACTAATAAAAATAATTAGTATTTAGGGGACTGGTATATTTTTTATGGGGAAATAATAGTAGAGGTGGTTATATATATCTGCAAGTGTCACTGTTGATGAAAGTACATGATTGAAATCAGGTGCTATAAAAAAATTCACCACTGCTGAGATCACTTCTTGATTGAAGTAAATATTTAGTCTTTTGCAAGTAGTAATACTATTTGTTTAGTTTATTATTTTTTCATTTCCTAAGGTCTCTGAGATTGTTATGGTGAAAGTAGAGTAATTGCCTTCCCAGGCTGCTGTGAATTGGTTACAGTGTGTCATATCATCAGTGGGAATATTTGAATTGATGATTGTAAATCAAGAGCCTACTATGTATTTGTCAGGAAACGCTAAACCTGTAGTGGTTGTACAGCGCCTGGAGAATGGGAGGTAATCAGGCTGGCTACTGTGACTACTATGATCCAGCAGCCAGGTTATAAGTGCTGTTAGTTTATGGAGTGAAAACAGCAACATACAGGCTAAATAGGATGTCACCAAATGATTGAATTCAACCAGCAAATCAATCTCATAAAAAACATTGTGTGAAACAATCATGTCCAGGTACAGTAATAGAGTTTCATAGTTAATAATACACACACATTTTTTTCCACAGCTAAGTGATGTTAGTGTCCTGGAGGAAGTCCTTCGTATGGTTTTGGAAATTCTGAACTCTGTCCTGACCCATCAGTTGTCCCACAACCACAACTTGGTTTATACATTGCTCTACAAACGACATCTTTTCCATCCCTTCTCCACACACCCCAACTTTCAAGATGTGACGCAAAATATAGAAATGGTTCTTTCATATCTGATGGGTCGTTTGGAGACTACAAAGAGGGATCCTGGAGTCCATGACGTACAAGTAGGTAGCAGAATTGTATAACCCATTCTGCCACATCATGTTTTCTCTGCACTTTCCTATTTGTGGATTCAGAGGCTGAGTCTCGGCTTGCCCTGCCTCTTAAGTTGGTCACTACCTGATTCACTGTCTCCTGATTCTTTGAGTTTTATCTTACTTAAAACTGTGTATAGATCCTCCAGTATCCAGGTTATTTCTGTTCCCAATCACTCCAAGACTGAAGTACCACTTCCCGACATTTTTTTTTTTTTTCAACAAGTCGGCCGTTTCCCACCGAGGCAGGGTGACCCAAAAAAAGAGAAAGAAAATCCCCAAAAAGAAAATACTTTCATCATCATTCAACACTTTCACCACACTCACACATTATCACTGTTTTTGCAGAGGTGCTCAGAATACAACAGTTTAGAAGCATATACGTATAAAGATACACAACATATCCCTCCAAACTGCCAATATCTGTTTTTAATTTTTTATTGTGTCCTCGTGTTCCTGTTTCCTGTCCTGTCCACTCTATCAATCCTCTGAGTATTTTGTGTATTATTATGATGACTTTCCTAATCATTCTGTCTTAATGTCATCAAGTTTTCTTTCAGGATCTCCTCTTAGCTCATATTCCTTACCTGTGGGATTAGCCTTGTTGCAAACTGCTGCACTTTCTCCAGTTTCTTGACATGCTTGAGCTGTATAGCCCTTGTGGCTTAGCGCTTCTTTTTTTATTATAATAATAATAATTGACATGCTTGAAATGTAGGTCCTATGCTAGTACTCCAAGATGAGTCTTATATAGCATATAAAGTGTTATGAATGGCACCTTGATGAAATTCCTCTTAGATTTCTGTACAACCCTAGTGCGTTTAGCGCTTATTTATTATTGTAATAATACCCTTGGCTTTACCAATGGCACACATGCTGCAGAGGTTATTCAGTTGATGTGTATCTCATGTGATATGCTTGGCTCTATACTCACCCTGAGATTGCTCTCCTTGAGTGAGGTTTGCCGTTTTTGTCCCGGGCCTGCATTTCATTTCTGGTATTCTTTCCTTATGCTCTTATTTTATTCTCTTCATTAGTTTCATAAGTTAGTGTGTAAATGTAATTAAATTTAGGGAAAGAAAATTGCAGAATTTTGGATAACAGTTTCCCAAGAATATACATTAGTTATAATAGTATGTAGACAATGTTTGCTTACTGTTTCCTTGTAAGAAATAGACAATGTTTGCTTACTGTTTCCTTGTAAGAAATATTCAATGTCTTTGTATGAAGTGACCCATTTCATTTCAGTTTAAACTTTAAGCTTAAACCAATGTTACTAAATACATTGGACCCTTGGTTATCAGCCAATTTTTTCAGCTTCCGGTTATTGGCCATTATTTCGCTTATTGGTCGTATTAGACATGCCCACCTGCCAGCCACTCACGCGTTTGTGAGTCAGTCTGGCTGTCTTGGGGCGAGTGAGGACACTTCTGCTCATTCATCCAAACATCAAGGAAGCTGATATTGTGAAAGGGAGTTTAGCAGGAAGTGTAGCAGACGTGCAGGGAGTGTAGCAGACGTGCAGGGAGTGTAGCAGGGAGGCAGGACCCCAATGGAAATAAGTCACTCTGACTTTTTTGGGAAATCCTAGGTTCTTTACACATATGCTGTGGAAGGGAGGCAGGCAGGAAGTGTGGCATGGAGGGAGGAAGTTTAGCAGGGAGTGTAGCATGGAGGGAGAGAGTGTAGCAGAGAGGCAGCAAGTGTAGCAGGCATACAGGGAGTATAGCAGGGAAGTAACCCCAGAGAGGGCTTTGATACCTGAAGTACTTATGGAGGAGGATTCCCCTTCCAAACAATAATCAGTCCTCCCTCTCTCCTCCCTGTCTTCCATAAGCCAACAGGAGTCTTCAATAAAGGTATGTAATAGTGATTTAAATATTCATTTATTTATTTTATTTGCTTCTCATTGTTTTGTATGTAAAACTATAATTAATCTTTAAAAACATGCATTTTTTTTTTTTTAATATTTTTGGGTGTCAGGAACGGATTAATTGTATTTACATTAATTCTTATGGGGAAACATCATTTCAGATTTAGGCCGACCTTCTGGAACGGTTTACAGCCGATAACCGAGGGTCCATTGTTTTATATCAGCAAGGTGAAAATGTAGATACCACTTGCTGGCTTATGCAGTTGTCTAATTTAAAGATGCCTTAAACAAAGGAAAACCTTTAATCTATGATAATGTCACTCTGATTGTAATGTAAAATAAGTTTTTCTCTGCTTCAGTTGTCTTGGTAATTCAAAGTCAAAATGTATTGAAAGAAAAATCCTTGAAATAAAATCAGGTTTCCATTTATTTTCCTTACAGGAAGTGATCCAGCAAGGTGTGCTTCATTTACCAAAAGATCGCTTAAAGAAATTCCCAGAGTTGAAATTCAAATACGTTGAAGAAAATGAACCTGAAGAGTTCTTTATTCCTTATGTATGGACACTAGTATACCACAAGTCAGGACTGTATTGGAATCCTAAGTGCATTTGTATGTTTGATCCCTCTCAACCAGATGGCTAATACTAAGCTGTAATCAGATAGTGTTTTGTTTCTGTGCTTTTTTTTTTATTCTGCATTTTGTTATGATTTCAAAGGTTTATTGTTAGTAAAGGCAAAAAAAAATTGCATAAAATAGTTGACAGGCAAGATTAAAGTTTAATGGTACTGTAGTTTTTTATGAACGTAATATATTTAAGGATAATTAGATTTTTTGTATGACAGTAATTAGAAAGTTTATATACTTAAAATCAGTGCAGAGTATTATTAGGTATGATTAAATTAGCTGATTAATTGATTAGTTTTTTTTTTTTTTTTACTTGATTAGAGACCTTTAACTTTTACCCCTGCATGTTATTTCACCATCTAATAATAGCAACTGTACAAGGTTCAAATGCTGTATATTTATAATGGTTAAGTAATGGGTGGTTATAATTAAGGTACTTTGGAAAATAATTTATTTATTTTGGTATTAGTACAGAAAAGATCATCTCTACAAGAAATGAACTAAAAAATAGTGGTTAAAAAAAAAAAGTCTCCACTCTAAATCTTAGTATCAGAGGGGAAGAATCCGACCAGAAAATATTCGCTCGATGCAGGTTATCAGCCATTGCATTATAGCCTCCAGTGTACATAAAGGATTAACTGTGTATACTATACAGATATAAAACTCCCTATTATTACTAAGTGCTAAACCCACAAGGGTCTTACAGCATAAAACCCTATAATAGGGGGCAAAAGTAATGTAACCTTACTGTTAGTGACAGTGGACCGATTCCTTTATGCCTTTCCTTCCTTATAGCTGATAGGCATTGAAACTATCAGCCTAATCTAGTCTACATCTAATTGGAAGTGGAAGCATTATGCTGTACATAATGGCAGACTTGATTGCTGATAAGTCTTGGAGAATACCTGTGTCACTATTAATATCTGATATGCAGGGAATTATTCTGATTATACTATGTGGAGTTCTTAAGTGTTGAACAAGGAACAAATTGGATTTTAATGTTTTCTTGGGTACCAGTTAAGTTTTTCACTGATCATGGTCTTCCAATGGATTGTTTAAAGTATTCTATCTTGACATTTCAATATACTTGCATATAATTTTCACTTGTAGTGCAGTACTATATAATAGTGGGTAGTGACCCATTAGTAATTTCTCAGTATTTTTGTACATCATTGACCTGCAATTGTAAACATTTAATTTTTACTCTTAAAAGTCAAAATTATCCTGATTAATCCTTATAATTGTTCATCAGTCTTTCTAGTAACTTTCCAGAAAGTGATAGTACTGTTCAGAACCATAATTTCCTGGTACAAGGAAGTTACATATTGATTTATGCACTCTTCCCTTTTCATACATGCAAAATAATTAACCTCAATCTTTGTAATAAAAAAAACCATACATACATTCAGCTGGAATGAGTAATACTGTAATATTTGCATAAAAATCAGTTTAAGGACAATTTTTCATAACCATTATTTACTTTAGCCATGACATGTCTGAAATGCTTTACATTCATATTGGAAAGGGAGAGAGAGGGGGGGGGGGGGGCACAAACACATGGCCAAGTTTATTCACACCCCTGCCCATTATTATATTGATAGGGAAGCACTAAACCCATTTCCCCTCTGTTCATCTAATATAACCAGGCATTTCTATTAGACAGTTTTATCCAGAAAACTTCAGTCCTAGCGTGTCATTATTACATGTATGTATAGATACAAAACCCTTTCAGGGTCAGTCCCATTGTATCACTGCTTCGAAGCCAGTGTCAGTCCCACAGTACAATGCCATGAGCTGTGAGTGGTAAATTGGGCCTAGATACAAGAGAATGGGTCTATGTGGGAACAGAAAAGGGCCTGGGAAGAGGGGGTTATCACAGAACGAAGACTCCATGATATTATTATTATTATTATTATTATCAAGGGGGAAGCGCTAAACCCGGAGGATTATACAGCAGACTCCATGATAGTGCTGCTTTTTATTTAAAAAAAAAAAAAAAAAAAAAAAAAAAAAAAAAGAGGGACAGTCACTAGAATGCATAGACGGGCTGTAAGTTCTTCCCCTCGTCTGAGGGGGTCCATGAGCAATGCAGATGCAGTGTGAAACCCGTGCCATACCCTACCCTTCACACCAGTAAACCAGCACTCCAGGATAGCAACTTCACATCTACCAAGCCACCTCGGCGGACAAAAAGGGCGGTCAGAAACCCGCCACAAAGCATACCTCCTCCAGCTGTCACCTCCCAGAACTGACTGGCAGGCAGCCTCTGGAGATGCACCCATCTGCAGGACACCCCACCCACTTCTTGGAGACAATTCAGATTCCATAGCAGACTACACCACCCCCGAGGGACCCCACGGAGTGGGATGAACCCCAGCACATTTCCCCCTGCCTAGAAACCATAATGTCAGAGGGGAGGACCACAGACTACAAACAGGATGGGGAAAGGAGGGTCGGGAAGGTGGGGGGAAAAAAGGGGGATGATGAGATAGGGAAGGGAGGATTGGGGAATACTTAGGTTTGGTCTGAGGAAGGAGACCAAAGGGTTTAATTCCTTAGACCAAGAGCCTCTTTGCCGCATCAAGGAGCCCCCTTTGATGCAGCAAAGAGGCTACTTTGTCAGGACAAAGTACACTAGCTTGAAGTTGAGCTCAAAATAGTGGAAATGTTAGACTTTTGCCAATATTCCAGAGTAAACAAATGATGTCCCTTATCCATTACGGGTCCAACTGGCCAGTCAAAATACATTTAGGAATGCAAAGACATAATTGTATAAATAATTACAATAATGCAATAGTCTGCATAACAGTAAATCTTTTATTTTTCTGGGAATAAAAATTCAAAATGGAGTTAAAAGATTATTATTACAATCAAAAAGAAGCGCTAAGCCACAAGGGCTATACAGCGCTGCAGGGTAGGGAAGGAAGCGAGGGTATTGGGCGGCAGGAGGGAGGGAGGGATGATCAGTAGGTTACAGAAAACAGCGGGGCAGGGGATAGTGCGGGGGTAGAGGGTAGCAAGAGATTGAGGTAGAAAGGGCTGAAGGCATCAGAGTTTGTGAAGTCAGTCAGTTGTCAAAAAGTCAATGAGAGAGTCCAGATGAAAGGTGGGTCCATCAGCGAGAAGGGAATGTAAACAGAGAGCAGCGGAGCGAAGACGACGATGGAGGTAAATTCTGCGTGCTTGTTGATAAAGTGGGCAGTCCAACAGAATGTGGCTGACTGATAATGGAGTCTGACAATTCTCACATTGAGGAGCAGGGCGCCTCTCCACGAGATATCCATGAGTAAGACGAGTATGGCCAATGTGAAGACAGGAGAGAGTAGTCTCCCAACCTCGACACTGGTGACAGGAAGACAGCCAGTAACCTATACTCGGTTTAATAGATTGAAGTTTGTTACCAAGCATAGACCAACGTTGTTGCCAACGAGTGTGAAGGTGGGTAGCTTTTGCAGCAAGTCCAAAAATTGAATACCTCTATATGAAACTGGTAGGTCATGTACTGCTGACCGCGCAGCAGTGTCTGCCTGTTCATTGCCCTGTACGTCAACATGACCAGGGACCCAACAAAAAACAATATCTTTATGCTTGGTATTATTATAATCAAAAAGAAGTGCTAAGCCACAAGGGCTATACAGCACTGCAGGGCAGGAAGGAAGCGAGGGCATCAGGTGGCAAAAGGGAGATGGATGAGTAATAGGTTACGGATAACAGCAGGGCAGTGGATGGTGAAAGGGTAAAGGGCAGTAAGAGACTGAGCTAGAAAGGGCTGAGGGGAGTGTAAAAGGTATCATCAACAGAGTTTGTGGAGTAAATCAGTCATTGTCAAGAAGTCAATGAGAGAGTCAGGATTAGAGGGTCCAGCAGCAAGAAGGGAAGGTAAAGAGAGAGTAGTAGAACGAAGACGACGGAGGTAAATTCTGCGTACTCGTTGATAGAGAGGGCAGTCTAACAATGTGGCTAATCGATACTGGAACTTGACACTGCTCACAGAGAGGAACAGGGTGCCTCTCCATGAGATACCCATGAGTAAGACGAGTGTGGCCAATGCGAAGGCGGGAGAGAGTGGTCTCCCAACCTCAGCACTGATGACAAGACAACGGCCAGTAATCTATGCTCGGTTTAATAGAATGAAGTTTGTTATCAAGCAGAGTTGACCAACGTTGTTGCCAACGGGTGTGAAGGTGGGTAGCTATTGCAGCAAAATAGTCCAAAAATGGAACACCTCTATAGGAAATTGGTAGGTCATGTACTGCTGACCGCGCAGCAGTGTCTGCCTGTTCATTGCCCTGTGCGTCGACATGACCAGGGACCCAACAAAGAACAATATCTTTATGCTTGGTAGAGATACGGCGTAGCCAAAGTTGGATACGGAGAACTAGGGAGCGAGATGTATCAAATTTTCTTATAGCCTGTAGAGCACTAAGGGAGTCTGAGACTACCACAAATGATGACACAGGCATAGATGCGATACGAATAAGTGCTGCAAGAATGGCATACAATTCAGCAGTAAAAATACTAGCCGAAGATAGTAAATGCCCTCGTACGACGCTGTCCGGAAACACTGCTGCGAATCCTACGCCGTCAGAAGACTTAGAGCCATCTGTGTACACTGCAATGGCATGAGAATGAGAGTGGAAGTGGTCAAGAAAAAGAGCGGGAAGCAACCGTAGGCAGTTGGGCTTTCGAGCAAGGGAGAGAGAAAGAACAGACTCGAACAGCTGGAACTTCCCAGGGGGGTAGGGAAAAGTGAGATGCTACATGAACATAGAAAGATGGTAATTGAAGAGAAGACAAGAGCGAATGTAGGCGAAGAGAGAACGGACGGAGTAAACAGGGGCGGCGAACAAATAAAGAATGTCTACTAATATCAGTGACCATTCTATAATTGGAAGGATTGCGGAGATCATGAGAGCGTACATAGTAGTGAAGGCAATGGGCATCACGGCGATCGGATAAGGATGGAACGTTCGCTTCTGCATAGAGGCTCTCAACAGGGGAAGAGCGAAAAGCACCAAGGCATAAACGTAATCCTTGGTGATGAATGGGGTTAAGGTTAGAGAGAGTAGCAGGAGAAGCCGGTGAATAGATCTGGTCACCATAATCAAGTTTCGATAAAATGAGGGTGGAATGTAGGCGAAGGAGAGTTCAATGATCAGCTCCCCATGAAAGAGGAGCAAGGGTTTTAAGAAGGTTCAGCCGGCTGTGACAAGTTGCCTTCAGAGAGGCGATGCGAGGGTTCCAGGATAACCTACAGTCAAAGAGGAGGCCCAGAAACCTGACTATCACGTTCAGGGATACGGGAGCCATAGAGGTACAAAGGATGATTGGAGATGACAGAGCGTCTAGTGAAAGTAATTTGGAGAGTTTTGGTGCTGGAAAATTTAAGCCCATGTGTGGTGGCCCAATTGGAAACACGGTCGACCGCATGCTGGAGAGAAACTGTAATGAGGTGACAGTCACTGCCTGCACAGGCAATAGCAAAGTCATCAACAGAGTGATGACCAAATATTTGATGGAAGACTAGAGGCCAAATCATTTATAGCAAGGAGAAAAAGTGTTGTGCTCAAAACACATCCCTGGGGGACACCTTCAGCTTGGATAAAGTCCGGGGAGAGCACATTATTAACCCGAACATGGAAATGCCTGTTAGTTAAAAAGTTCTTAAGGAAGGATGGTAGATTGCCTCTAAGGCCTAAGGAGTGGGCTTGGGCTAAAATATTATACCTCCAAGTTGTCATATGCCTTCTTAAGGTCAATGGAGTCATAAGAGGGGCCTGGAAATGTGACTAACGAAGAGAGAAAATGTTACTCTAGTGCCAGGAATGTCTGCATTGTTTATTCTGGACCCAATTTTGAAATTGGCATTTCTTGAATTGTGTGAAATTGGCCAAATTGCCATTTTCTGATCACTTTATTGGATAGTTTAAATAGTTGAGTTTAGAACTCCATGATTATAATAATAATAGTTTAAATAGTTGAATGGGTAGTTACTTGTACTCTATTATAATAAAAAAGAAGCGCTAAGCCCTTGTACTCAACAGAATGGAAGACATGCTGCTAAGAATTTGGTCAACCAAAACAATAGAATTGGTCTAAAATTGAACTCAAAGTGGACGAAATCGCCGAGGCGTAAATACCATGAACGAAATTCATGAGAGCATAATTTCATAAATTTTTCATCAAATCTTGCACCGTTTTATTGTCTCCAGAAAAAAAAAATCTCTACCATTTCATTTTTTCTTTTTGAAATTTTGCGACCCTTATAGCAAGTCAGAGCAGGGGCCGCGACCCTGAATGGGTTAAACCAAAAACATGGTCATTTTTTTTCTTTTTTTCCATGCATTACATGGGGCAGGATTTATTTTTGTATAGTGCACAATTACCGTATAGACCCATTCTCTCATATGTAGGTCCTAACTTGCTGTTCATGGCTTATCTGAGTGAGCCAAGCTCAACACTTAGAACTACAGCACAGACCCTGAGCTCGAAGCTATAGTACTATGGCATGGAGCTTGAAAGGGTTAAGGGGGCTCAGGTAACTGACGTGCAGCTTTCAAGGAGGTTAAGCAAGGCTTCCAGGTCATCCAGCAATCAAACAGGAGACAAATTTAATATCCTGTTTGGGGATACAGAAACCACACAGGCACACAGTCCAAGGAATAGGATATCATGGAAAAAAAATAAGCTTTGTTTTAGCAAGACAATCTAAACCCATGAGAGGTGGCCCAGTGTGAAGTAAGATCAGTAGCATTCTAGAGAGGCTGCTACAAGGTGACAGTGCCTGCACAAGATATAGCAAAATCTACAGACTACCAAATATTGGGAGAACAAGAGGTATGGTCATTACCAGTAGGCAAAAAATACCATCTTTTAGGAGTGAAGAAGAGCAGAATGTAAGTGTGGGGGAGGTACGCGAGGCATTACGTAAAATGAAAGGGGGTAAAGCAGCTGGAACTGATGGGATCATGACAGAAATGTTGAAAGCAGGGGGGGATATAGTGTTGGAGTGGTTGATACTTTTGTTTAATAAATGTATGAAAGAGGGGAAGGTACCTAGGGATTGGCGGAGAGCATGTATAGTCCCTTTATATAAAGGGAAAGGGGACAAAAGAGAGTAAAAATTATAGAGGAATAAGTTTACTGAGTATACCAGGAAAAGTGTACGGTAGGGTTATAATTGAAAGAATTAGAGGCAAGACAGAATGTAGGATTGCGGATGAGCAAGGAGGTTTCAGAGTGGGTAGGGGATGTGTAGATCAAGTGTTTACATTGAAGCATATATGTGAACAGTATTTAGATAAAGGTAGGGAAGTTTTTATTGCATTTATGGATTTAGAAAAGGCATATGATAGAGTGGATAGAGGAGCAATGTGACAGATGTTGCAAGTATATGGAATAGGTGGTAAGTTATTAAATGCTGTAAAGAGTTTTTATGAGGATAGCGAGGCTCAGGTTAGGGTGTGTAGAAGAGAGGGAGACTACTTCCCGGTAAAAGTAGGTCTTAGACAGGGATGTGTAATGTCACCATGGTTGTTTAATATATTTATAGATGGGGTTGTAAAGGAAGTAAATGCTAGGGTGTTCGGGAGAGGGGTGGGATTAAATTTTGGGGAATCAAATTCAAAATGGGAATTGACACAGTTACTTTTTGCTGATGATACTGTGCTTATGGGAGATTCTAAAGAAAAATTGCAAAGGTTAGTGGATGAATTTGGGAATGTGTGTAAAGGTAGAAAGTTGAAAGTGAACATAGAAAAGAGTAAGGTGATGAGGGTGTCAAATTATTTAGATAAAGAAAAATTGGATATCAAATTGGGGAGGAGGAGTATGGAAGAAGTGAATGTTTTCAGATACTTGGGAGTTGACGAGTCGGCGGATGGATTTATGAAGGATGAGGTTAATCATAGAATTGATGAGGGAAAAAAGGTGAGTGGTGCGTTGAGGTATATGTGGAGTCAAAAAAACGTTATCTATGGAGGCAAAGAAGGGAATGTATGAAAGTATAGTAGTACCAACACTCTTATATGGGTGTGAAGCTTGGGTGGTAAATGCATCAGCGAGGAGACGGTTGGAGGCAGTGGAGATGTCCTGTTTAAGGGCAATGTGTGGTGTAAATATTATGCAGAAAATTCGGAGTGTGGAAATTAGGAAAAGGTGTGGAGTTAATAAAAGTATTAGTCAGAGGGCAGAAGAGGGGTTGTTGAGGTGGTTTGGTCATTTAGAGAGAATGGATCAAAGTAGAATGACATGGAAAGCATATAAATCTATAGGGGAAGGAAGGCGGGGTAGGGGTCGTCCTCGAAAGGGTTGGAGAGAGGGGGTAAAGGAGGTTTTGTGGGCAACGGGCTTGGACTTCCAGCAAGCGTGCGTGAGCGTGTTAGATAGGAGTGAATGGAGATGAATGGTACTTGGGACCTGACGATCTGTTGGAGTGTGAGCAGGGTAATATTTAGTTAAGGGATTCAGGGAAACCGGTTATTTTCATATAGTTGAACTTGAGTCCTGGAAATGGGAAGTACAATGCCTGCACTTTAAAGGAGGGGTTTGGGATATTGGCAGTTTGGAGGGATATGTTGTGTATCTTTGTGTGTGTATGCTTCTAAACTGTTGTATTCTGAGCACCTCTGCAAAAAGTGATAATGTGCGAGTGTGGTGAAAGTGTTGAATGATGATGAAAGTATTTTCTTTTTGGGGATTTTCTTTCCTTGTTGGGTCACCCTGCCTCGGTGGGAGACAGCCGACTTGTTGGGGGGGGGAGAAAAAAAAATAGGATAGTAGTACTAAGAACACAGCCTTGAGAGATACTGTCAGCCTGGGTGAAATCAGGGGAAAAAGCTAACCCAGAAAAAGAAGTGCCTCTAATAAGATTAGATACACAACTTTTAACCAACATTCAAAATATGGAAGAAATCACAATAAAATATGAGACTGCAAATATGTAAAAATACAAGTTAAAATAGGAAATAAAACCCGAGTGCTTTAACGTGCTTACAAAATCAGATTTTTTTTTCTTTTATGGGTGCTAAACCAACAGCAGTCATACAGCACCTGGAGAAATGGGAGGTAATTAGACTGGATCCAAGGGAAGGTTCAATATCTTTGATAAAGGCACTATGAACATTTCAGGTTTAGTGCCTGACTATTATATTAATCAAAAATAAAAAGGCAAGACAGTGATGGAGTGAATGATGGTGAAAGCTTTTCTTTTTCGGGCCACCCTGCCTTGGTGGGAATCGGCCAGTGTGTTAATAAATAATAATAATTCACATGATTACCTATACCCTACTGGGTTTGGCCAGTAACTTGTAAGGTAATCACAGCTTCAGGCAGGACCCAAAAATACCATTTTGTATTATATTCATGTGGAACACTAAACCCACAGGGGTCATACAACAATCAGGTTTGATACACAAATGACTCAGGCAGGAGAGAGGAGCTTACGATGACATTTTGGTCTGACAGACCATTTACGAAGTCACACTAACAAAAAGATGAGTACATACAGTAGGACCCCACTCGTGTGGCAGGTTAGGTTCCAGGCTACTGCCGGAAAGCAGAACGCCATTTTTTCCACTTATAAATACATATAAATGCCAGATAAGTTCACACTAACATATACAAGTTAGCAATAGAACTAGGCATTAAAAACAAAAAATAAAATACACACACAGTACACTCATTACTTACCTTAAAATATTTGTAGCCTTAATATAGGGTGAGAGGTGAGTTATTTGTAGGAAGTCAGGTTTGAGAAGTATGGTAGCCAACCCCACCCCACCCAACCAACACATAATGAACGCATCTGGGTTTTCGTTCATACAAGTCTGTATTATACCTTAATACAAACACTTTACATTGTGTACAAATTGTCTCCACGTTGATACAGTAAAATACATAGAGAAGCTCCCATAACATCATTTTTAGAAGAAATGATGCTCTGAGTGAAGGCATACAAAAGGAATGATTTTCTGCTACCCCCAGTAATATTAGTGTACACATTTTCTCTGACGGACTACAGAAAACGATATTCTTATAGTCACTCCTACAAGTCGCTTGGCTACCATATCTCATTTATGTTAATTTATTCTACTGTAGGGTGTATTTATCATGTTGACATGTTACATAGTATACTTATATAATTTTGAAAAAATACCAGAGATAGATTAATGGAAATGTCTATACTTATGTAATACATATACGACATTTATTACGCCCAAGAGATTATTATGGCACCAAAAGTAGAGACTCTTAGTGATTTTAATGTTTTTCTGCACACCATAAGTATATTTAGGTACAGCTACACAAGTATATAAGTATAATGGGAGACAGCTGACATGGGGAGGAAGGGGGAATGCAATAACTTTAAAACACTTGAAATTTTGGAAAGTTTCAGACATAAGAGATGCGCTCACGGAGAATGTAAACAAAAAGGGCGAGGCATACCATATTAGAAACACCAGGAGCTGTATAGCAAGTTCTGGTCATACGTAATTTGAAATTGCCATATTAGAAGAACGCCATAAAGCAGGACCCTACTATATAGGCTCCTCTTTCTTAGTCTTTGACTACCACTACTACTATAGTAGTACTACTAGTAGCATTACTATGCAGTCAGTCTCCAGACCAAAAATTTCAGGTTTAGTTTGTGGACTGTCATAAAACATTTTAATTTTAAACCTTTAATGCTTATCAATGGGTGGACAGTAATTATAATTAATGTCCACCCATTGATAAGCATTGGGTAATAAGCATTATCAAACATTCAATATAAGGAAAATTGAAAAAATTACCTTTTAATGACTATATTTTGAAGTTTAAATTTCCACTATAGAAACATTTTTAAATGTCATGGCATGAAATTCATCAATACATGATATATGACCATATAAAATAAAGATATGAATTAAATATTAAACTATAGACTATGAAAGAGAGGGGGCTTTAAAGTAATTCATATACCAAGATAAGACATCTAAAAGAAATGCAAATTCGGAATGCAGTACAACAAATTACAATACCATTGGGTCATGATGTTTTTTAAAACAACTTATGAAGACTATCATTGGCAAGGACAGAATCCTCAGAGTTTACCACTTCAGGGCATCAGATAAATAACTAGCCACAGTAATAATGACCAGTAGCCCTTTAAACTCTGCCCGGCATTAAAGACGAGATCCAATTCTCCCTATCTATACACTGCCACAGAAATATGAATGCTCTAAAACTTGTACATTGCAAAATAATTTTGCTAAAATTCCTAGTTCAGATACTCTAATAGTTGTCTGATTTCCTGTGGTATGCAAAAACAAGCTTTAGAAAGTCTACCTTATACTTTCATATACATGTATGCCAGGCAATGGTAAAAAAATATTACAACTGCAATTTAAAAAAAAAAAAAAAAAAAAAAAGTTAACTTGACATGCATCCTTATTAAATTCATAGAATGAAGATGCATCTCATAAGAGACTGGAACGCTATCTTACACAATATAACATTAACTATAAAAAATCATAGCTGTCCAATGGCTGGCTAATATTTATTTGTATATAAAAAAAAATTAACGTAAACACTAAAAATATTTTTTTTCTAACATCTCTTAAAACTGGAGTAGTAAAGCCACATGCTACCCAAGCCTGGGTCATCAACAATATTAGAAAGCTCAAGAAGGTCAACTACAAATCATCTATTCCATAAAGTTAGCAACCCTTTAGCACTCAAATTATGCACCATTACAGAATGCAAAAGCATTTCCTGACTACAGTATCAATAACTAGGTTAGTAGCAAGTATACTACAACTACAAAATACAAACACCATTAAGAAATAGTCACCCTGTCTTCACCTTGTTTTTTGAAACTTTGGCTGGGGCACAAAAATCTGTGAAACTCATGACAACCATGATAAATGCTAATAATTGCCCAGTTATTAGTTACATTTTTGGATACAACCTTACTCCTGTGCTTATCTTCTTAATGCTACACTTGAGATCAAATATTTAATTATCTAAAGGGATTAGCTTTCTGTACTCAATGGTTTGTTAACTTCAGCAATATACACATGTTTGCTTACTTTATATTGCAATTTTTTTTCTATAATGACTGCATTACTGCCAGAGGGATTCTGGAACTGCTATGAAAAGTCTCCCCATCACACAACACTCATAGCACCATGATATATATCTATATATTCATTCCATTCTGGGACAACATTAAATGAACAGATGATTTAGAGAAATTTCTTATTTGACTGCATGTACTACAGCCACTACACTGCTCACATACATAAACATCAAAAGAAAAACAAATATGATCATATAACAAATGACAACACAAAGAACAAATCTTAAGAACAGATCCACATCAACATGTGGCCATTCAGAAGCAAATGCCACATGAATTGTTAATAACGCCTTTCACAACCTGAAAATGTATATTAAAATCCAATTCATCATTAGGCACTAATTTTCTTTTCCTTATCTAGACAAAAAATTACCATGCAATTAAATGGATGGAATTCAAAATGCTTCTCTCTACATTTGCAGGTTGCAGTCATACTGACATATGCCAATATCAATTTACCTAAAGGATACCATAGTTTAAATGGACTCTCATAGAATCTCAACTTTGGACCTCTCTTGTCCATTCACAGTTCATGGACAGATGAACGCAAACGAACATATTACTAAGCTATAAGTATAATAAATAAAACTCACAAGCATAATATATCATGATATTAGACTTCAATATCCTTCAAACACAAAGCTTGAATGGTAGTCTAAGAATTAAAACACGGAAGAATTGTCACATACTCTCTAGCCTTCTGCCTGTGAGTCATACTATTATTAGTGAACGATGCCGTAACATTCTACATGACTTGCAGGATTTGACTGGCCTCAAACACAGTTCCAGGTGGAAGGATGACTGGAGCAGACACATGACCTGCCTCGACACACACCAGGTTGGGAAATTCCTCTTCCCCAAAGTCTGGGATCTCTTTGGCTTTTTCAATCCAAGGATTCCACACCACTGAAAAAAATATAGACTCATTTAATTCTAACCCTTACCTAAATTATTATTACAATCTTTTTAATTAACACACTAACCATCTCCCACCAAGGTTATTTTTAACACATCAACCATTTCCCACCATGGCAGAGTGACCCAAAAAAAGAGGAAACTTTCATCAGCATTCACTCCATCAGTCTTGCCAGAGGCACACCTACACTACAGTTAAACTGCAACATCAACACCCCTCCTTCAGAGTGCATGAACTGTATATCCCACCTCCAGGACTCAAGTTCAGCTTGCTGGTTTCCCTGAATCCCTTCATAAATGCTATCCTGCTCACACTCCAGCAGTACATTGTCATAACCATTAATCTCCACTCGCTTCTAACACGCTCTCACACACATGCTGGAAGTACACGTTCCTCCTCTACCCCCTCCCTCCAACCTCTCCTAGGCTGACCCCTACCCCACCTTCCTTCCACTACAGATGTATACACTCTCCAAATCATCATTTTGTTCCATCCTCTAAATGTCCAAACTACCTCAACAACCCTTCCTCAGCCCTCTGAATAACTTAGTAACCCCACACCTCCTAATTTCCAAGCTAGAGATTCTCTGCATTACATTCGCACCCCACATTGCCCTCAGACAAGACATCTCCACGGCTTCCAGCCTTCTCCTTGTGCTTACCACCTCTAGGACTCAAGACTGGCTAACCATTTTCATAAAATTTCATGTCACCATATGGAAAGAGTTGTAAGCAGATGCCTTTTAGAAAAAAAAAAAATGTTCTCTAATTCCATGTAGTGCTATATCTACCAAATCAGAGAGAGAACTGGGAGAATGAGAGGGGTACAAGGGGGGTCAGTAACTAATGCATCTGGTCACTACTCAAATTTTGCTATGTTACTTGAATACATAAAAATTTATTTTCCTTTTAAAATCTATGGATAATTTCATACATTCACAGGCTGCACAAGAGCAAAAAACTGTTAATAATTAAATTCTGCAAATCAGGAACCTCTGTAAATTTGTGGGTTTGGCTATTTACTTATGTCTGCACACTTTTGACAACACAGCTACTGAATAAGTGATGGTGAACACTACCTTTTCTGGGGGTTACCCAAACACTGTGGGAGAGCCAGTGTTGGAGTGAAATACCTTTGATTATCTATTGAAAACTGAACCGTGGATTCAATGTGAAATGCTAGATTGTTGCAAGGAAAAGTAAAGGAAATGAAATATACATTGTGGTTCTTAAAACCAAATTTCCGAAATTTTCAACAATTAAGATATCCAACCCTGAATACTTACCAGTATCAACAAGATTGTATTTCTGCATTCTCATCTTGCGGCCACTTACAACATTGGTAATTATGTGTTCAAGGGGGGTATTCTGGTAGATACGATCTGTCCATTCATTAATGGTTACCACATCACGGTGCTCCTGGTAAAGTGCTCCTTCTCGGGTCTGGTGAAAATATAGAGTTGCAGTACTCCGAACAGTACCATGAATCACATGGCAAGAACACACAACATGGCAAAAAAAAAAAAAATTAAAATTACCCTTTTAACCCTTTGAGGGTCGACAGGCCCTCTCCGAGACTCGTTCTCAGGGTCGGCCAAATTTAAAAAAAAAAAAAAATTATTTTCTCGTGAAAAGATGGAGAATCTTTTCCCGATCATAATGACACCAAAAGTTTGAAATTTGATGGAAAACTTACGGAATTATGCTCTCGCAAAGTTAGCGGTCTCGGCAATGTTTACGCATCGGCGATTTTGCCCACTTTGAGCCCCTTTTTCAGCCAATTCCACTGTATTAGTCGACAAAAAACATGAATATTTCGCTTGAACTCCATTTTTTCTATCGAATGGGTGCAAGAAACCACCCATTTATCAATTTCAACTATCCAGTACAGTGGTCAGAATTTAGCAATTTTGCCAATTTCACACAAATTTCAAAAGATGCCAATTTCCGAATAGGGTTCAGAATAAACAAGACAAGACATTCCTGGCACTAAAATGACATTTCCTCTGGTCATTAGTCACTTCTCAAGGCCTCTCTTATATTCTTTTGCTTTCCACTTTGAATTTTTATTCTCACAAAAATAGAAGATTTACTGTTATGCAGACTACTGCATTAGTGTAAAAAATGGTATAAATAATATTGGCGCACTTGTGAAAGAATACATGTATTAGACTCGCCAGTAGACGTGTATTGGACGCTTGGCATGATTTGTTTACTTTTGAAATTTGGTAAAAATCGAACATTTCTGCTATTTTGAGCTCAATTTCAAGGTACTTTTTATTGTGAAACCAGTCAAAATCATCTCAATTTCTGTAATATGTCTTCCATTCTATAAAATGAGACCAAGAAAACTAGAATACAACAATAAATACCATACGAAAATACACTGCAAAGTTGCTGTTTTATTCCAAGAAAAAAACGGTCGAAGTTTTTTTTTTCTCATTATGCACTGTGTGCTGCAGGATTTTTTTTAGACTGTGCACACTGACCACAGACCCATTCTTTCATATGAAGGCCTACCAGCTTTCTCCCACTAGATTTGAGGGCGCTAGAATTTAGGCGTACTAGTACGTCAAAAACCCTGGGTCGTAAGCCGTACTAGTACGGCTGAAACCCTCAAAAGGTTAAAGGAAGTCTTTCCCTTTGAAATGACCCACAAAGTTGAACAAGGCGTGAATATACATATGAAATTTTTTTTTTTTAGAGCACTGAATTATTATGCAAGATTTATATTACTGTATATACTATATATAGATCAATCATTTTATACATTTCACTTTGGAAGTACATGAAACACACCGACTTTATAAACATGACTGCCAGCAACATCACAACATAAATCTCCTCAATTAATAAACCTTTAAGCTTTATTTATTGTTTATGATGAATGATGCAAATGAAATTTTTCACTATCTATAAATTACAAATTGTTAATCCTTAAACTGTTCAAACGCAGATCTATGTTTTTTCAACATTTGAATGTAAAAAAACGTAGCTTTTTTTTTTTTTTACATTTGAAAACGTGTAAAAAAAACTTTGATCTACTTTTTTTTGTTATATTTGAAAATATGTAAAAAAAACGTAGATATTTTTGAAGCACTACGCATGTGAACGTAGATCTGTTTGGACAGTTTAAGGGTTAAGAAGGGTACATTAACAAACCCAACTGTGTTCAAATGAGAACAAGGCTGTGGAAGGATGACAAGCACCAATACATATTTTAACTCATTCCCAACTTTGCCCCAACATATACTAAGATGCAAGACTGAGAACTCAAGCTTACCCTTCATGCCAATAAACTCAAAATAGGTAAGGCATCAGTGAAATTTATTTTGAATGCCTCTACTGCCTTGTTCTTCATTTCTCACTTTCACATGGCTCCATTCGTTTCCTAATCTCATTTCTTGTCAAACCTCATTCTCTGCAAAATCTGTCGACACCCACAGATGCGCTCTTAAAGTCTCTATCTTTCATCTTGTTTCTACTTTACCTTGTATTAGTTAAATATTGTCTTAAAAAAAATTTAACACCGGCCATATCCCACCAAAGTAGGGGACAGGAAAAAGAAGAAACACTTTAGCCATCACTCACTCCAGTCTTGCCAGAGGTGTGTCAATACTACAGTTCAGATGCCCCTCCATACTCCAGAATGCAGACACCACTTCCCACCTCCAGGACTCAAATCAAGCTAACCAGTTTCCCTGAATCTCTTCGTATTTTTAACCAATGAAGTTCTGAATTGCCTTACTAGATATCTCTTACAGTATTATGTCAAAATTGCTATTGCAGTGTTAACATTTATGTTACCTACATGCTTATTAAAATGTTGAAAGGGGTAATCAGACATTTTTCTGCAATACAAGTAAAAACAAAAAATTAACCCTCCCTCCTAAAGTCTGATTTATTACTAATGAAGTATAGTATACAATGGATGATTTTCTCAGACTGCCCTTTAGAATCTCAAACTAGCAAAAAACTACAAACTCAAAAATTTGACTGGCTAAATATCACTAATTTTTAACAGCACATTTCAAGAATATGAAATTTTTCAAGGGATTTTCTGGGAAGTAAGCCAGACCTGAGTCCTGGAAATGGGAAGTACGGTGCCTGCACTTTAAAGGAGGGGTTTGGGATATTGACAGTTTAGAGGGACATCTAAACCGTCATATCTGAGTGCCTCTGCAAAGACAGTGATTATGTATGAGTGATGGTGAAAGTGTTGAATGATGAAAGTTTTTTTTTTTTCTTTCTTTTTGGGTCACCCTGCCTTGGTGGGAAATGGCCAACACGTTAAAAAAAAAAAATTTATCCAGCAATTTATGCTCAGATTAACCCTTTCAGGGTTGAGAGGCCCTCTCCTAAACTCATTCTCAGGGTCGAAAATTTTTCAGAAAAAACATTTTCTCTCTCTCATGAAATGATAAGAGAATGTTTTCCCGATCATAATAATACCAAAAGTATGAAATTTGATGGAAAACTTAAGGAGTTATGCTCTCGCGAAGGTAGCTGTCTCGGCGATGTTCATTCACTGGCGATTTCGCCCACTTTGAGCCCTATTTTCGTCCAATTTCGGTGTACTAGTCGGCAAAAATCATATCCGTTTCGTTAGAACTGCATTTTTTCTATTGAATGAGTACAAGAAACCACCCATTCACCGATTTCAAGTATCCAATAAAGTGGTCAGTAATTGGCAATTTTGCCAATTTCACACAAATTTCAGAAGATGCCAGTTTCCAAACAGGGTTCAGAATAAGCAAGACAGACATTCCTGGCACTAAAATAACATTTTCTGTGTTATTAGTCATGTCCCCAGGCCCCTCTTACATCTCTTTTGCTTTCCACTTTGAATTTTTATTCTCACAAAAAATAGAAGATTTACTGTTATGCAGACTACTGCATTAGTGTAGAAATGGTATAAATAATGTCAGTACACTTGTGGAAGAATATCAGACTCACTAGATGACGTGTATTGAATGCTTCACACGATTTGTTTACTTTTGAACTTTGGTAAAAATCGAACATTTCTACTAATTTTAGCTCAATTTCAAGGTACTTTTCATTATGAAACTAACCAAAATCATCTCAATTTCTGTAATATGTCTTCCATTCTATAAAATGAGACCAGGTAAACTAGAATACAACCATAAATACCATACGAAAATACACTGCAAAGTCGCTGTTTTAAACCAACAACGCGTTTGAATTTTTTTTTTCTCATTATGCACAGTGTGCTGCAGGATTTTTTTAATGTGCACAATGACCACATAGACCCATTCTTTTATATGTAGGCCTACCAGCTTTCTCTCACTAGATTTGAAGGTGCTAGAATTTAGGCATTCTAGTACGTCAATAACCCTGGTGCGTAAGCCGTACTGGTACGTCGGAAACCCTAAAAGGGTTAACAAATAGATGAAAATGTCAAGAATATTCTGACAACATAATTAGGAAACAGTTGAAAGACTTTACAAAGCTCAGTGTCTCTAATGTAAATGGTAATGCAGATTTTTATTTACAAGGTAATGATGCGACTGAAAAAATGAAGAAAAAAACTAATATGCAGAATAACGAACCTTATCTATATATGTGCACCCCCTCATGCCAGTAATCTGGCAACGTCGTACATCAGGAACCTTGAAATATGTATGGAGAAGAAGAGTGAAGGAATGGGTCTCTGCTCCTGGATTGTAAACAGATATGTTGAAGTGAAGTTCCTTTTCTCGTAGAATAAGGCGATACGTTAAGCTGAAGCTGTTGTGGGATGAAGAGTATTGTAATGCCTTGTTTTTATGGCAAAAATAATTTATAAGCGTAACTTAAATAAATGGAACTTCACTCAAGGTTGATTCATTATAAAACAATATCAAAGAAACTAATATTAATCTTCAAGCAGTTTGTACAGAACAGTATTTATAAATATTAAACACTCTACAATAAACATTACCCCTTTTGTAAATTAAAATACCAGCCACTGATATAATCCAAATACATACAGAAAAACATGTTCGTTTAACAATAAAAACCTACGGATAATTCCACATGGAGCGAGTGAATTCATTATCCAGCAATTGGAACATAGCCTCTACATCTCCAGTAGGTAAACGTTCTGGAGGCTTTTTTAACTCCCAACGACAAATGCGAGCAAATCCATGCTGTGGGCCAGTGCTCCAAGGTCCAAACTGGGCTATAAGAGTAAAGCATATCAAACCACTTAAAATAGTATATTTAAGCAATAAGAAATCTGAGGTTGTAAACTGGATGGTCATTATCACAGATTGGAAGGACTATCATAGGCTAATTGATAGACATTCTTCCCAACCGTTTTGGGAAGATGTAAAACTGGAAAAGGTGAAGCTGAAAGAGTGTTGTCTGAGAAAAAATAAGCAAGGAGAGAGAGACAGAGACAGACAGACAGACAGACAGACAGAGACACAGACAGAGAGACAGAGGACTAGACAAGAAAGGAAAATGCTTATTGGATATATATCTATTCAAGATACTGTACTAAAGTTAATTCTGCAGGAAGCATACTTACGAAAAACGATTGGAATTCCTCCACGGATTGCTCGTTTTCCATCAAATATTGCCTGTTTGCTGAAAACAGAGAATTTAAAAAATTAAATAGATGGGGTTCTGTTATTGTTAAGCACCTGTTCTTATAAGAAATTCACAAGCTCTTGCATATCAAGCCATAAATGGAACGATAAATATCAAAATTCACATTCAAGTATGACAATATCACAATCATAAGGACTGAGACTAAAGGAGGCACGGATACCAAACTCTTAAGAGACACTGGCATAACTCCTAAGGAGTTATGCAAGAAAAAGTTCTCAGTGCCTGATCATCCCAATTAATATTTCTCGCTTACACATAATCTTGCCTCTGTACGAAACTGTCTACAATGTTAACCTTTTCAGGGTCCAGAGGCCAAATTTCAAAGTGCGCATCAGGGTCCAAGAATTTTCAAAAAAAATTTTTGTTATTTTTTCTTATGAAATGGTAGAGAATCTTTTTCTGAAGGTAATAAAACAAAAAGTACGAAATTTGATGGAAAATTGACGAAATTATGCTCACGAATTTTGATGTGTCAGTGATATTTACGAATTGGTGATTTTGCCGACTGACTCCCATTTTAGGCCAATTACATTATTCCAGTCGACCGAATTCTTAGCTATTTCACTAGTATTACTTCTATTCTATTGATTGAACACAAGAAATCACCAAGTCAACTGTTTCAACTACAAAATAAAGTGATCAGAAATTGGTAATTTAGCCAATTTAACACAAAGTTCAAAATAGGGTCCAGTATAAACAATGTAGGTATTCCTGGCACTATACTAACATTTCCTCTGTTCATTAGTTACGTTTTGAGGCTTTACAAATGAATTCCATTTTGATTTTTTATTCACAATGAATTTTTATTCAAACCAAAATATAGAAGATTTACTGTTATGCAATATTGTAATAATTGTATAAATATCATCACCACATTTGTGAATGTATATTAGACCCACCAGCTGGCGTGTATTAGACGTGTCAGGTCGTTTGTTCACTCTTGAACATCGGCAAAAATTTAACATTTCCAGTGCTAAAACCAATCAAAACCATCTTTATCTCTCTAATATGTCTTCCATTCTATCAAAAGAGACCAAGAAATCACAAATACAACTATAAAAAACATACGAAAAAACACTGCGAAGTCGCTGTTTTAATCGAAAATCACGGTCTCAGTTTTTTTTCTCTCATGCACTGTGTGTTGCAGGATTTGTTTTATGTGGTGCACACATACCACATAGATGTATTCTCTCATATCTAGGCCCAAATTTACCACTCACAGCTTATCAGAGTGAGCTGAGCTCATGACGTAGATCTACGGTTTGGACCCTGAACGTAAAGCCGTAAATCTACAGCACGGACCCTGAAAGGGTTAATGAGTACCGAACAGTTTATACAGTACATTTTTTCTGTACAATGCAGTAGAAGTAGAATAAGTACATTCAGAGGTCTCCCTACATCCACATGGGATACATTCCAAGACTTACCATGAATGCCTGAAACCACATAGTAGCAAACCCTATATACATGTCATTTTTTTGTTTACATACATACTTCTGTATGTAAGTAATGTCACCATGGTTGTTCAATATACGTATTTATAGATGGGGTTGTAAGAGAACTAAATGCTCATGTGTTGGCAAGAGGTGTGGGGTTAAAGATTAAGAATCTAACACAAAGTGGGAGTTGTCACAGCTGCTCTTTGCTGATGACACTGCTTTTGGGAGATTCTGAAGAGAAGTTGCAGAGATTGGTGGATGAGTTTGGTAGGGTATGTAAAAGAAGAAAATTGAAAGTGAATACATTGTATGTGTAGGAAAGAGTAAGGTGATGAGGATAACAGAAAAAATTAGGCAACAAAAGATTGGATATCAGATTGGTGGGAGAGTATGGAGGTGAATGTATTCAGACATTTAGGAGTGGACGTGTGAACAGATGGATCTATGAAAGATGAGGCGAATCACAGAACTGACAGAGAAAAAGGCAAGTGGTGCACTGAGGAGTCTGTGGAGACAAAAACTTTGTCCATGGAAGCAAAGAGGGAAATGTATGAGAATATAGTTATAATGATGCTCTTATATGGGTGCAAAGCATGGTTGGTGAATGTTGCAACAAGGAGAAGGCTGGAGGCAGTGGAGATGTCGTGTCTGAGGGACACATGTGGTGTGAATATAATGCAGAGAATTCATAGTTTGGAAATTAGGAGAAGGTGAGGGATTACCAAAACTATTATCCAGAGGGCTGAAGAGGGGTTGAAGTGGTCGAGACATGTATAGAGGATGGAACAAAATAGAATGACTCAGCGTATAAATCTGTAGGAGGGAAGGCAAGATAGAGGTCAGCCCAGGAAAGGTTGGAGGGAGGGAGAGGGTAAAGGTTTTGTGTGTGAGAGAGGACTTGGACTTCCAGCAAGCATGCATAAGCCTGTCAGATAGGAGCGAATGGAGAACAATAGTTTTTAGGATTTGATGTGCTGTTGGAGTGTGAGCAGGGTAACATTTATGAAGGAATTCAGGGAAACTGGCAGGCCAGACTTGAGTCCTGGAGATGGGAAGTACAGTACCTGCACTCTGAAGGAGGGGTGTTAATGTTGCAGTTTTATAACTGTAGTGTAAGTGCACCTCTGGCAAGGCAGCGAGAGTGAATAATGGCGAAAGTTTTTCTTTTTCAGGCCACCCTACCTTGGTGGGAAATGACCGATGTGTTAATAAAAAAATAAATAACATATTTCTGATAAACTTTAATTGGTAAATTATGCATAAAAAGTCGAGAATTAGCACTTTCCCTGATGGGAAGCACTTCACTTTTGTGGTTTGTGAGCATTATTAAGCAAAACTAAGTGTTATTTTTGTGCCACAGCAAACCACGAATAACAAACTGCAGAAACTGAGTCTGCAGATACAGGGGCTCTACTGTACTCATGTTTGTGGATTTTGGCTTCAGAATAGAACAAATGGTAACCTGAAGGTATCTAGAAAGCATCCCTATTGGCTGTAGACTAAGAAGCACTGCCTCTTATGGGAAGGCTACTGTCAAGTACATACATATACCTGCCAGTTAAAAATTAGTCGTGGATTTTTCAGCAAGAAAATGAAACCATACAAAACACAAATGCATCAGCTACCTCCAGAACAAACACTACAGAACAGTCCTATTTCACGCATTTTTATTTTCCAAAATAGTACTTGATACCTCAGATATAAGATAGCTACCATTAAGTAGATATGCAAATAAAAATATAACAAGACTGTAGACTAAAGGTTACAGTAATGCTGTAGTATATGAAGCTAGTCAAGGCAGTGTCAACTCCCAGATTCCTTCCCTTAGTGTACAGACGCCAGGAAAATCAGCACTTCCGTCATGTACTTAAAATATAGTTACAGAAAGACTCAAAATATGTTTAATGTTATTACAGAGCCCATAGAGCAAGAGAAACGGGCAATAAAGTGAAAGGAGGGAGCATAGTTAACAAAACATTATAGTACATGCAGCAGTTACCACCACAAAACTATTACTGTATCTTGCTTCACACAATTACACAGCAAGATTACAGTACTAATGTTGTACCCAAATTAAACATTCAATTATCTTTATCATTATTTCTAGTTCAATGCTAGCATCAAAACTTCTTTCTCTAACCTTACTTTGTCACAGTACATGAGAAAAATTACAGTACTTAAAATCACCCATAGTAGTAATCTAACAGGATTTTTTTTATTATTATTAACGCATCGACCGATTCCCACAAAGGTAGGGTGACCCAAAAAAGAAAAACTTTAATCATTCCCTCCATCACTGTCTTACCAGAGGAGTGCTTTAAACTACAGTTATTAAACTGGATATTCACACTGATGGTATTCACCAGTGGTGGCACCAGGGGAAGGGAGAATTGCTTCAGTCCTTAAAAAAAAAAAAAAAAAAAAAAAATCCTCAGCCCCCACAAATAAAATAGTAATACCACTGCTTCAAAACATGTCTTCTACTCCCCCCCCCCTTCCAATAAGAGAGCAATCCCTAAGCACCCCCCCCTACCCCCAGTACAAATTCTGGCACTGCCCCTGGTATTAACAAAATATTTTTTAAGCAAATCAATAGTGTGCTTAGACAATATTAATCTTTCAAAGACATAAGGAGTGCAAGTACTCCTAGAGATCTGCCAGATTGTGCATTCAAAAATACAACCTAACTGGCCTCCAACCCACCCCCAATGCACGGCAAAAACATTTTGCAGTCTGGCATCGTTGACAACACCCGATCAGGTTCACTGCCTCAGAATGCAACCAGACCACTTTTTTACATCATTTTTGTGGGCCATTTCAGGCAGAACATGAGAGCATTCACAGCATTCGTTATGCTCTCCCGGAGCTGGAGTTTAAAGTTGGAAAGGTAAAGTTACCCAGCCGTGTGGTCAGGTGCACCACCAAAGCCTGTATATTCTAACCAGTAATACGTACAATTATAATATACTGTAAATAGTTTTATATTTTGGTCTCTAATTTGCATACTATCACATTAAGTTTATCCAAGACAATTAAGATATGAATACGTACTTTAGACATCAATATTATTTCATTCAAAAGAAATTTATGTACATTTCACTTTTACAAGTTATAAGTATATAATACTGCACTCTAATATAAATATATCCTTTCCTCATGCTCTAAAACTTGCTTGCATATGATTAGAAAACATGGCCTTGAGTATTCCATTAGGGGATGATAAACATTAATTAAAAATATTATTTTCCAAAAGAAACATTAGGCCCATGTGGATCCTCCGGTGCTGCAGTCCTCAACATAAGCAACTTAGGTTTTATGAACCATTCAAACAAAGAACTTCCCATGCAATATGTACTAGCATAAAGGTCCTACTGGGATAGTGATATTTGTTTAAGTAAATGATGAGCCCTTGATACTTGAGTGCTACACAGTAATCATAAGTACATCACTGACATAGCAACTTTTGCACTAAAATAATTAGCATCAAGATAGACATTAAATTGTTTTTAATCTATACTGCACACAAGGTTTCAGAACAAAAATGCATAGTGAACAGAGGATAATTTGTGCCATTATTAGAGGCACTTCCCACAAAACTTACTGGAGCCTGTACTGTGTGACATGCAAGTCTAGTGGCTTAAATGGACTCACCTCACAAAAAGTTGTTCCTGGTTATTTACGCGCCATGAAACCACGGTCGCACCTGTTGAGGTAAGAATTAAGCTTTACTAGTTTTTCAAGCTTGCATGGGGAAACTTTACATTATGATGGAGAACAACCACAGATTTGGCCGATAAACCATTCCCCATTTATATCTTCGCTAAGTATATCTTAAGTCCTCATACAGGGGCTACCTTGGAGGACATCTGGTGGTAATCTTCCAGTTTCCTATGTATTAGTTTACTTTCCGTATTAAAATCACCAGGTCACCATAATTATGGAACCCATTGTTGCACATTTACTAACTACCCCCAACAAAGGTTCCTTCCACAGTCAAGAATCCTTATCACAAACTAAGGTATCCACAATAACATTTACAAAACAAATATACGAGCTTCCATGCAAAAACGAGGTCTGTGGGGGGTAAAGTCCTGGTCTTGATAAGGAAGCCCCAGAAACAGTCAAACAAATCACAAGTCAATAAGGATTACACTAGCTTCAGACTAAGATAACACATCCCTTGTCTAGAAACAGTAAATAGAGGAGACAGTGGTAAACAACGCTCAAGAAATGGTAAACAGGTTTGAATGGAAGTAATGCGAGTACTGATATCTGTCTTGTGACAATTTTAATGTAATACTTTATAAACCAAATCTTGTAGAAAATAGCCAGTATATGGCTAAAGAAGTTCCTATAACATTTATATGCAGTTGACCGACTTAACAGTAGCTACGTTCTTGAAAACGGTATTTAATCAAGAAATTGTGCATAATGAACTGAAGAATATACGGGAAAAATATGGTTAAGTTCCTTCAATCTCCCCCCCCCCTCCCCCAAAAAAAAGGCAAACCAATTTTTTTTAAGTCTGTAAACTTTAATAGTTATAATGCAATTGTAGTTTAATGCATTGATTTATTATAGTTAATACAATATGTATAGCAACATAGGCTACATAAATATTTCTTATTTTAAAGTAATTGCTGATGTATGTCAGGGATAGTGTAGCCTTACTAGGCTAGCCACTTGCAATGGCTCAGCCATCCTCAGAAATAATATCCTGTAATTCCCTGCAGCCGTGATCAGCAGCAGCATTCCACAAAATTTATTATGCAATTGACTACACAATTTGAACTTGAGGAACCGGCCTATCTAAACAAGCACTCTTCGGGCCGCCTTCTTCACACAGGGTTTTAAAATATATTTTTTTTTTTATTCCTGAAGATGAAATAAAGTGGTGCACCTGTCTTGGTGTTGTCTTCAATCCACTCAATAACTTTCCCACTGATTTAATAATAATAATAATCATAATAAATAATCATAATAATCATAATAAATAATAATAATCATAATAAATAATCAATCATAATAATAATAATAATAATAATTATTATTATTATTATTTCCACAAGTACATGTACATTGCAAACAGACCTACCTGGTATCAGTGACATGCTACAATACAGGTACTCCTCACTCGACAACCGAATTCCGTTCCTAAGGGTAGGTCAGCAAGCAAATTGGTCGTTAAATGAAAAGTCACCCCTTACATATTTCAGGCATACTGTACTGGTAGTGGGTTTGCATCAACCACCTTTAGATATTGTTTTAATGTCACCTTTGCACCACTTAACATTTTTAGTATATAATAATAGAACTAGGCATTAAAAACGCTAAAAATTAAAATACACATACAGTACACTAGCTGGAGAGCTAGTCGTACGTCTGAGCAGTCGTTAACCCTTAAACTGTCCAAACGTAGATGTACGTTGACGTGCAGCAGGCTCCGAACGTAGATCTACTATTTTTTTTTTTTTTACATGCTTCCAAATGGGGAAAATCAGGGTCGGAGCGCTATGCAAGTGAGCGTAGATCTACGTTTGGACAGTTTAAGGGTTAAGCAAGGGATATCTGCACAAAAAGTCCCCTTGTTATGAACAGCATTTCTGGCAAATTATGTTAATTTTGTCCCCAGGATGCAACCCACACCAGCTGACTAACATCCAGGTACCTATTTTACGAATAAGTGAACAGGGACAGCAGTTGTTTTAAGGCAACACATCCCAATGTTTCCACCCGTACTGGGGACTGACCCACAGACCTCAATCTGTGAGCAAAATGCACTAGCAATCTAGCTACTCGATGGATTATTCATTGTACAAACTTGTATGTTTGCCTCGTTCTTTCTAATTACGCAAATTAATTCCTCAATCCGACCACAGGCTTGTGCAGTCTCCTCCACGCATGCACCACTTAAGCTTATCTAGGATCTTAATTTTCTTCACAACACCAAGACTTTCATGTTTATGCTTCTTTGCACTTACAGGGTTACTCCACATTTCTCTTGGGTGCCATGGTCACTGTCCAGAGATGAAGGATGATATAGAGACAAATCAATTCACCAACAGTATGGTATGGAATGCATCTGAAAGTGCTGAGGTGAGGACGTGTGTAAATTATGGAGGCCTCCTAAATAAGACAAAGGTCTCTTGTAGGCTCACTATGTGATGGGCAAGAAAGAACCCAACACTTTCCACATTTTCCTCCCTACATGTACCCAACTGTTTAAACATTAATACAGCGAGTTTACTGAAAATATGCTGCAATTTTATAAGTGTTAGTCCAAAGGTGTCAACAGAATGTGTGTTAACCCAAGTCAACTGTACAGTACTTGGTTCATTCTAACGTTTAGCTTTAATGTCCCTCAATCTGGACCTAATCCTTTAAAAGGGTCTTTACTCACTACCTTGTCAATATCTGTATTATGGTTACACAAACCTTGTAAGCATTTTATCGCAAAAAATTTGCCTCGGTTCCCGTTACAAAACCTGGTATGCGATACAATTCGTATGAGAAGTGTCCAGTGTTTACAAGCCAGTCAGTGTGCGCGCATCTAAGGATACATTCGGTACATTCTATATTATCCATATTATCACTTTTTTTTGGTGCTTATTTCTGCAAAATAAGTCACCATGGGCCCCAAGAAAGCTAGTGCTAACCCATCAAGACCAAGGGTGCTAATGACTATTGAAATTAAGGAAATGTGTGCAAAGTGGCTTGAAGTGCAAACATTTTTTGATGAAAATCACCTTGACACAGCTACTGCAAGCCGTGTTGGCAACCTGTACACTGACAATGTTGTGAACCACTTTAGGAAAGTCATAAAGGTACGAGAGGTACAGGCCCCTATGGACAGATATGTTGTGCGACAGAAGTCCAGTGACTTAAGCTGGTCCTAGTGGCATTAAAAGAAGGGAAGTAACCCCGGAAAAGGACTTGCTACCTCAAGTCCTAATGGAGGGGGATTCCCCTTCTAAACATTAAAAACTTCGGCACTCTCCCCTCCTCCCATTCCATCAATCACCACCAGATCATTAAAGCTAAGTGTCAATTATTCTATTATGATTATTCTATTGTTAATGTAATTATTATATTGCATTAAACTTAATATTTCATGTGGTAAAAGTTTTTTTTTTTCATACTTTTGGGTGTCTTGCACAGATTAATTTGATTTCCATCATTTCTTATGGGGAAAACTGATTTGCTTTCCGATAATTTTGGTTTACGATGAGCTCTCAGGAACGGATTAATATCGTGAACCGGGGGTCCACTGTACATGCTTACCAATACAAGACACTTGTGAAACACTAACATTTTATTAGGAAACATTGCCTTAGTCAGCCCAATGAAAGCTATTCCATATTTTTGGCTCATTTTATTTGCACTGAGTTTCTGTAAAGATTCAGAACACTAGCAATATGACAAGCTCTAAATTCAATTTTTTTTTTTCAGTTTTGAGGAGTTTAATTACCCCTCAGTACTACTGCACTAGCTTTATTTTAATCAGGGGGAGCACTAAACCTGTAGGGGTCATGTGGGGCCTGGGGAATGGGAGGCATTCAGGTTCAATCCAAGGAAGGGTAGGATAAGTCATTCTTTGACACTACAGGATCACCTGGATCAAAGCATTTCACTTTAAGGGTACTGCACAGGGTTGTTAATCCTTGTCTATTTTGGTTAGGCTGAACCAAAGTATTGTAGCTAGTTACTATGCCATTCCTGTAGTTTATTCATGTCATTCTGCAAAACTTTTTTTTTTATAATAATTATTTCCCTACCATTCTGATTACCAGAAGATTTAGTCAGCTTCCAATAGACATACCTTCGATAAGTTCCAAGAGTTCTTCTACTCCTGGAGCCCAACCACAGGCCAACCCTGTCTGGTGCTTGCCTGGTCAACTAGGTTGTTGCTGCTGTTAGTCTGCCAATTTACATATCCATCACAGCCTGGTTGATCTGACACCTGGTGAAGAAACGTGTCCAATTTCTTCTTTAAGACTTCTACACTTGTTCCAGGAGTGTTTGAAATTTGGTATGATGATGAATAGTCTGAGGCCACAGATGCTGATACAGTGTTCCCTTATTGCACCCACTGCACCCCTGCTTTTCACTGGGTTTATTTTGTATTTCCTCCCATATCTCTCACTCCAACTTGTAGTTATGGTAGTGCGTAGATTTGGGAAAAGGCCCCTAAAGTACTTTCCAGGTATATATTATCAGGCATCTCTTACACTCAAGTGAGTATTGTTACGCGCCCCTACTTCACTCCATTATATACAAAAATAAAAGGCCTGGTTAAAATAAGTTCTGTAATAATATATCGCGAACCACTTTATTACTAGCTAGATAAAGCAGGTTCGACTATATATTATTATCGGGTACAGTATGAATCAAAAGTACTCTCATTGTATTATATTGTATATTATATCTTTCCCCATGATTATTATAACTATAATATTATATTATATTATTATTAGGTTAGGTATTACGAATGTGTAACCACTACTGTAGTGACCAATTGGTGGTTCTAGAATTGACGCCACGCGTCGCCTTCTGGCAGAGCTGAAGTCTGACTATGAAGTAGTTGAGTGAGTCAGTCAGCCCTAGCTCTGACTCGGTACGGGTCTTCAACCCAAAGCTCCTAGCTTAAACTAAAACTTTATACAAAGTCTTGCCTTTGCCATTAGTCTGGTAATTCATGTCACT